GCGCTTATCCTCAACCAATATGTTCCAGGCGCGTGCTCGGAGGCGGGAGCGCTTATCCTCAACCAATATGGGGTCCCAGGTGCGTGCTCTCGCGGACCAGGCAGGCGCAATATGGGGTTCCAGGCGCGTGGTCTCAGCCCGAAGAAGGCGGAGGCGGGGACGAGGCCGGAGCTGGGGTCCCAGGTGCGTGCTCGGCAGGGACGAGGCCGGAGCGCTTATCCTCAACCACTATGGGGTCCCAGGTGCGAAAGCGGAGGCGGGGACGAGGCCGGAGCGCTTATCCTCGACCAACGTGGAGTCCCAGGTACGCGATCTCGGCCCGAAGAAGGTGAAGGTGGGGACGAGGGCGGAGCACTTATCCTCAACCGATATGGGGTCCTAGGTGCGCGCCCTACCGCAGCGTGCATCAGTGCAAGGTGCTTGAAGCCAGAAGAAGGCGAGCTTCAAGAGGAGGCGACAACAGGCTCGAAGGACTTACTCTCAGAATACGTTCTCGGCGCGTGGTCTCAACCTGAAGAAGACGGAGGCGGCGACAAGGCCGGATCGCCTATCCTCAACTGTCATGGGTTCCCAGGTTCGTGGGCTGGAGAGAACAGAAGCCGAGACCAGGCCGGAGTGCCTATCCTCAAGCAATATGGGGTCCCAGGTGCGCGGTCTCAACTTGAAGAGGATGGAGGCGGGAACCAGGCCGGAGCACTTGTCCTCAACCAATATCGGGGCCGAGGTGCGTGGTCTCAACTCGAACAGGACGGAGGCGAGGAGAGGCCGGAGTACCTATGCAAGGACAAGGCTGGGAGGGCCCATCCTCAACCAACATGGGGTTCCGAGGTGCGGAAGTTCAAGCTGAAGAAGACACAGGTAGGGACACGGCGGGGGGGGGGGCTCATCCTCAACCAGTATGGGTTTCCGAGGCGTGAAAGCTCAAGCTGAAGAAGACAGGGGCAGGGACAAGGCCGGGAGGGCTCATCCTCAACCAATATGGGGTTCCGAGGTGGGGAAGTTCAAGCTGAAGAAGACAGAGGCAGGGACAAGGCCGGGGGTGAGCCATCCTCAACCAATATGGGTTTCCGAGGCGTGGAAGCTCAAGCTGAAGAAGGGCAAGGACAAGGCCGGGAGGGGTTATCATCAACCAATATGGGTTTCCAAGACGTGGCGTCTCAAGCTGCAGAAGCGCAACGACAAGGCCGGGAGGGTTTATCCTCAACCAGTATGGGTTTCCGAGGTGTGGAAGCTCACAAGTCGAAGAAGACAGAGGCAAGGCCGGGAGGGCTTATCCTGAAACCAATGGGTTTCCGAGGCGTGGAAGCTCAAGCTGAAGAAGAATATCCTCAACCAATATGGGTTTCCGAGGCGTGGAAGCTCAAGCTGAAGGAGACGGAGGCAAGGACAAGGCCGGGAGAGCTTCTCCTCAACCAATATGGGTTTCCGAGGCGTAGAAGCTCAAGCTGAAGAAGACAGAGGCAAGGACAAGGCCGGGAGGACTTATCCTCAACCAACATGGGTTTCCGAGGCGTGGAAGCTCAAGCTGAAGAAGGGCAAGAACAAGGCCGGGAGGGTTTATCCCCAACCAATATGGGTTTCCCTCAAGCTGCAGAAGGGCAACGACAAGGCCGGGAGAGTGTATCCTCAACCAATATGGGTTTCCGAGGCGTAGAAGGCTCAAGCTGAAGAAAAGAAGAATATCCTCAACCAATATGGGTTTCCGAGGCGTGGAAACTCAAGCTGAAGGAGACGGAGGCAAGGACAAGGCCGGGAGAGCTTCTCCTCAACCAATATGGGTTTCCGAGGCGTAGAAGCTCAAGCTGAAGAAGACAGAGGCAAGGACAAGGCCGGGAGGACTTATCCTCAACCAATAGGGGTTTCCGAGGCGTGGAAGCTCAAGCTGAAGAAGGGCAAGAACAAGGCCGGGAGGGTTTATCCCCAACCAATATGGGTTTCCCTCAAGCTGCAGAAGGGCAACGACAAGGCCGGGGGAGTGTATCCTCAACCAATATGGGTTTCCGAGGCATGAAGGCTCAAGCTGAAGAAGACAGAGGCAAGGACAAGGCCGGGAGAGTGTATCCTCAACCAATATGGGTTTCCGAGGTGTGGAAGCTCAAGCCGAAGAAGACAGAGGCAAGGACCAGACCGGGAGGGCTTACCCTCAACAAATATGGGTTTCCGAGGCGTGAAGCTCAAGCGGAAGAAGACAGAGGCAAGGACAAGACCGGGAGGGCTTACCCTCAACCAATATGGGTTTCCGAGGCGTGAAGCTCAAGCGGAAGAAGACAGAGGCACGGAGGAGAAGACAGAGGCAAGGACACGACCGGGAGGGCTTATCCTCAACCAATATGGGTTTCCGAGGCGTGGACGCTCCAGCGGAAGAAGACAGAGGCAAGGAGGAGGCCGGGAGGGCTTATCCTCAACCAATATGGGTTTCCGAGGCGTGGACGCTTAAGCGGAAGAAGACAGAGGCAAGGACACGACCGGGAGGGCTTATCCTCAACCAATATGGGTTTCCGAGGCGTGGACGCTCAAGCGGAAGAAGACAGAGGCAAGGAGGAGGCCGGGAGGGCTTATCCTCAACCAATATGGGTTTCCGAGGCGTGGCCGCTTAAGCGGAGGAAGACAGAGGCAAGGAGGAGGCCGGGAGGGCTTATCCTCAGCCAATATGGGTTTCCGAGGCGTGGACGCTCAAGCCGAAGAAGACGGGGGCAAGGACCAGGCCGGGAGGGCTTATCCTCAACCAATATGGGTTTCCGAGGCGTGGAAGCTCAAGCGGAAAAAGACGGGGGCAAGGACGAGGCCGGGAGGGCTTATCCTCAACCAATATGGGTTTCCGAGGCGTGGAAGCTCAAGCGGAAGAAGACGGAGGCAAGGACGAGGCCGGGAGGGCTTATCCTCAACCAATATGGGTTTCCGAGGTGTGGAAGCTCAAGCCGAAGAAGACGGTGTGGAAGCTCAAGCTAAACAAGACAGAGGCAAGGACACGGCCGGGAGGGCTTATCCTCAATACGGAGTCCCATTCAGGCGAACACTGAAGGAGACGGAGTCGCCGAAGGCGAGCCATGGAGTATCCGCGCTCGCAAGCGGGACAATTGCAAAAGGATATCAGAGAAAGAGACCATCACTGAGCATGTAGTGCAGCCAGACGCATGCAGGAGTACCTGCTCCCAGCAGCTTATGAACGCAGCTCTTGTTCATTGAGCAATTCCTAGCCAGCGGTCCCCCTCGGCGAAGCTATGGCGACAGGGACAATCTGTTTCGAGAGATCGGAAGGTATACTGCGGTGCTGCGCCCACACCTGAGGATGTGTCGCGGGAAACTACTTCTCATTTACTCGGCTTTGTTTTTACGCCAGGAGTGCAAGGAATATGCCCGATACTTGGGCATCGACCCCGGATACGAGGGAGAAGAGACACACAACGCGATGTTGTGCCCGAGCCTCGGACGCTCTACGAGGGAGGAGTCCTGATATGCCGTTTACCTTTATCGAGGCCCTCCCTGTGCACGCCGACTCGGGTTGTGTCCGTCGGGGCCTTAAGAAGCGCTCGTGATGTCTCTGCTGAACACGATGGCGCTGCAGGCCCCGCCGCCGTGACAGAGCCGGGAAACCGGAGCGCGAAGCTCCGAGCCCGTTGGACAGCATCAAGAGCCAACTGGGCGTCAGGGGCCGAGCAACGCACACCAAGCCAGCATCTGCCGACGGTGGTTGACGCTAGTTGCGCTAGGCCTGTGCCACCGTCGAAGAGAAAAGAAATCTTCTCAGGAAGAATGGGTGGGCAGGCCAGCAAGCAAGAGCGAGAGAACAGAACCTGCACACTGACGTGCAACCAGGATACATTTGGCAAAGGGTGCCGCACGGCGCGTGGATACCCTGGTGGTATCTTTCGGACAGCATTTGTTTCTGGGAAGAGGATGTCTTCCAGGCCGGACCAGCACAACGAAGAAGAACATGAGGGCACGTCCCTGCCACAGCACAGCCCAGGAGGCCACGGCAGCCGTCTGAGCGCCAGGTCCGGCGATAAGAACCTCTTCCCTTGAGAGTCCAAAAGGTGCACGGGAAGCACTTGCATCACGCGCATGCACTCTTGGGGTATGCCCGATGACTACGAGCGACTCCTATCCGACGCAGCTGTTATTCAGCATTCAGTAGACACATACGGGGAGATATAGCATGGTCTCAACCCGAGGAAGGCAGGGGCGGGGTCGAGGCCAGGGCGTTTATCCTCAACCAATATGGGGTTCCAGGCACGTGGGCTCAACCCGAGATGAAGACGGAGGCGGGGACGAGGCCGGAGCGCTTATCTTCAACCCACGTATACTCAACCAATATGGGGCTTCAGGTGCATGGTCTCAACCTGAGAAGAACACGGAGGCGGGGATCAGGCCAGAGATATCCTCAACCAATATGGGTTTCCGAAGGCTGGGATCTCAGGCCGGAGGCGGGGACGTATCCTCAACCAAGATGGGGTTTCAGGTGCATGGTTTTAAGCTGAGAAGACGGCAGAGGCGGGGACGAGGCCGGAGCGCTTGTCCTCAACCAATATGGGGTTTCAGGGAAAGCGAAGGCGGGGACAAGGCCGGAGCGCTTATCCTCAACCAAGATGGGGTCCCAACCCGAAGAAAGCAGAGGCGGGGACGAGGCCAGAGCGGTTACCCTCAACCAATATGGGGTTCCAGGTGTGATGTGACGTCTCGCAGCCCGAAGAAACTGGAGGCGAGGACGAGGCCGGAGCGCTTACCCTCAACCAATATAGGGTTCCAGGTGTGACGTCTCGCAGCCCGAAGAAACTGGAGGCGGGGACGAGGCCGGAGCGCTTACCCTCAACCAATATGGGGTTCCAAGTGTGACATCTCACAGCCCGAAGAAAGTGGAGGCGGGAACTACGGGGGCCCAATCCGGAGAAGGCGAAGGCGGGGAAGAGGCCGGAACGCTTATCCTCAACCGATCCAGCACGCTTGTCCTCAACGTCCCAGGTGTGTGGTCTCAACCTGAAGAAAGCGGAGGGGACGAGGCCGGAGGGCTTATCCTCAACCAATATGGGGTCCCAACCCGAAGAAGGCGAAGGCGGGGACGAGGCCGGAGCGCTTATCCTCAACAAAAAAAGGGGCCGAGGTGCGTGATCTCAGCCCGAAGAAGACGGCGGCGGGGAGACCGCAGCACTTCTCCTCAACCAACATGGGGTCCCAGGTGTGAAGTCTCATCCCGGAGAAGGAGGAGGCGGGGACGAGGCCAAAGCGATTATCCTCAACAAATCTGGGGTCCGAGGTGCGTGATCTCAGCCCGAAGAAGACGGAGGCGGGGAGACAGCCCAAAGTCCTGGCCAACGCCAAAGCAACGCCAGCAGGCAGCAACAGCAGCAACAAGCGCAAAGCAGATGAGCCACCGCCATCGACTCCAGCAGCGAAGTCCACAAGACAGGGAAGCCCAGAACAAGAACTAGAAGGGCAGAACCTGGAGGAGTTCCCGTGTTACTTCGAGAAGCAGGTGGAGCTCAGGTGCGGCATCCATGCATTGAACAATGCTTTGGGCGCACGTCATTTCACGGCAATCGACCTCGAGCAGGCCGCAGCGGCTTTCCTCGAGGAGAACTGGGAACTTGGCGACGATCTGGGCCTCCACATGAGTCCTGGAGGCGACTACTCCATCGAGATCCTTTTCATGGCTGTGCGGAGCAAATCCATGCAAATGTTCAATCGTCTCTGCTGGCAAGTATCTGACCAGAGAGCTTTGGTCAAAGAGGATTTGGATGAATGCTTCGGAGCCATCCAGAACCTCAACGGTCGGCACTGGGTAGCGCTGAAGCGTTGGAGCAGCAATCATTTCGTCCTGCTTGACTCCCTGCAGGAGCGACCCGCGCTACTCTCTCACGCTGAGTTAGAAGACTCTCTGCAGCAGCACCCGACCTATTCCATTCGCCACATATGAAACTTCGAGTTCCCAGGTGCGCGGAGCACAGCAGCTGCTCCCGCGCGCGGATGTTTCACCAACGACAACTGCTTCGACTTGCGGAACCAGCACAGGCAAGTGGCGCAGAAAAGCAGAGTGCGCAAGACCAATACAGTGCATGACTCGGATTCTGAAACGCCTCGCTGAAGAGTCCATGATATGGAGAAGATCGCCAGAATTTGTGTCCACTGGCTCAAGTCCCTGCATGGTCTTTGCACTTCTCACAGTCTCTATGATATGTATGTAGATGCAAAGTCGCAACATTTCTCCGACAACTTTACGAAGGAACAAACAAGGGCAGTTCAGATCATGCAGCCCCGTAGGCAAATCCGCCATGGTAACCTGCGAGCCGCATGACGCAGGCAAGCTGAACCAAATCCCGCCACCCTCTTTGCCTTCAGAGAAAAAGACCCAACCGTCTCAGCCCCTACGCACCAGGGCCCAGCCCAGCAGCCCAGCAGCCCACAACCCCGCAACAGCAGCACCCAGCCCAGCCCAGAGCCCCCTTCCCCAGTCCCAGCCCGGTCAATCAAGGGCTCAGCCAGCCAATAATGCCCAAGCCCACTCGGGACCTGAACCCCCGCCACCCTCCCTGCCTTCAGATTTTAGACCCACCCGCCTCAGCCCCTACGCACCAGGGCCCAGCCCACCAGCCCGGTCAATCAACCCCTTCGCAGCTCAAGCCGGGGGCTTAGCCAGCCGACAATGCCCAAGCCCTAGCTGGTCCAGCCCAGCCCAGCCACTTCGCCAGCCGAATGCCCAAGCCCTAGCCGGTCCAGCCCAGCCCAGCCACTTCCCAAAGTCAAAATGACAAAGCAAAAACAAAAACCCGCTCAAAACTCGGTAAAAACTTTGTCAAAACTCGGTCAAAACTCGGTCAAAACTCGGGACCTGAACCCTATACAATTTCTATAAACCCTAAACCCTAAACCCTAAACCCTCAAGAAAGTGATAAATAGAAATTGCTTGTCCTTGTTTGTAACCACCGCTAAGGCCCAGCATTTCGGATAAAACTGGCGTTAGCTTCTTGATAATCCAATTTCGCACAACCACAACTTCAACCATTAACGCAGCCCAACCAACTCAAAACAGCCACCCGATCAAAAACGGAACAAGCTTCTTGATAAACCAATTTCTCCATAACCTCCAACCCAGGCCCACTTTCCAATCCCCCAAATCCAGGTCCAAGCACCAGGCCCCAGACCCCAGGCTCCCAGGCCCACCCCAAATCCAAGCTTCGAAATCCAGCCCCAAGCCCAGTCCCAAATCCAGGCTCTAGACCCCAAATCCAGGCCCACCCCAACTCCAGGCCCAATCCCAAATCCAGGCCCCAGGCCCCAAATCCAGGCCCCAGCCCCAGGCTCCAGACCCCCAAATCCAAGCCCCCAAATCCAGGGTTCAGACCCCAAATCCAAGCTCCAGTCACAATTCCAGGCCAGGCCCCAACTCCAGGCCCCATGCCCAAATCCAGGCTCCAGACCCCAAATCCAATCCCAAATCCAAAATCCAGGCTCCAGACCCCAAATCCAGGCTCAGTCCCAAATCCAGGCACCAGGCCCCAAATCCAGCCCCCAAATTGACCAGGCCCCAAGCCCCAAATCCAGGTTCAAATCCAGGCCACGAAAGGCCAGGAGCAGGCCACGAAAGGCCAGGAGCAGGCCACGAAAGGCCAGGAGCAGGCCCCGAAAGGCCAGGAGCAGGCCACGAAAGGCCAGGAGCAGGCCACGAAAGGCCAGGAGCAGGCCACGAAAGGCCAGGAGCAGGCCACGAAAGACCAGGAGCAGGCCACGAAAGGCCAGGAGCAGGCCACGAAAGGCCAGGAGCAGGCCACGAAAGGCCAAGAGCAGGCCACGAAAGGTCAAGAGCAGGCCACGAAAGGCCAGGAGCAGGCCACGAAAGGCCAGGAGCAGGCCACGAAAGGCCAGGAGCAGGCCACGAAAGGACAGGAGCAGGCCACGAAAGGACAGGAGCAGGCCACGAAAGGCCAGGAGCAGGCCACGAAAGGCCAGGAGCAGGCCACGAAAGGCCAGGAGCAGGCCACGAAAGGCCAGGAGCAGGCCACGAAAGGCCAGGAGCAGGCCACGAAAGGCCAGGAGGAGCCCACGAAAGGCCAGGAGCGAGCCAGGAAAGGCCACGAGCAGGCCACGAACGGCCAGGAGAAGGCAACGAAAGGCAGGAGAGGCCACGAAAGGCCAGGAGCAGGCCACGAAAGGAACGGAAGGAGAAGGCCACGAAAGGCCAGGAGCAGGCCACGAAAGGCCAGGAGCAGCCACGAAAGGTCAGGAGCAGGCCACGAAAGGCCAGGAGCAGGCCACGAAAGGCCAGGAGCAGGCCACGAAAGGCCAGGAGCAGGCCACGAAAGGCCAGGAGCAGGCCACGAAAGGCCAGGAGCAGGCCACGAAAGGCCAGAGCAGGCCACGAAAGGCCAGGAGCAGGCCGCGAAAGGCCAGGAGCAGGCCACGAAAGGCCAGGAGCAGGCCACGAAAGGCCAGGAGCAGGCCACGAAAGGCCAGGAGCAGGCCACGAAAGGCCAGGAGCAGGCCACGAAAGGCCAGGAGAAGGCCACGAAAGGCAAGGAGCAGGCACGAAGCCACGGAGCAGGCCACGAAAAAGGCCAGGAGCAGGCACGAAAGGCCAAGAGCAGGCCACGAAAGGTCAAGAGCAGGCCACGAAAGGCCAGGAGCAGGCCACGAAAGGCCAGGAGCAGGCCACGAAAGGCCAGGAGCAGGCCACGAAAGGCTAGGAGCAGGCCACGAAAAGCTAGGAGCAGGCCACGAAAGGCCAGGAGCAGGCCACGAAAGGCCAGGAGCAGGCCACGAAAGGCCAGGAGCAGGCCACGAAAGGCCAGGAGCAGGCCACGAAAGGCCAGGAGCAGGCCACGAAAGGCCAGGAGCAGGCCACGAAAGGCTAGGAGCAGGCCACGAAAGGCTAGGAGCAGGCCACGAAAGGCCAGGAGCAGGCCACGAAAGGCCAGGAGCAGGCCACGAAAGGCCAGGAGCAGGCCACGAAAGGCCAGGAGCAGGCCACGAAAGGCCAGGAGCAAGCCACGAAAGGCCAGGAGCAGGCCACGAAAGGCCAGGAGCAGGCCACACGAAAGGCCAGGAGCAGGCCACGAAAGGCCAGGAGCAGGCCACGAAAGGCCAGGACCAGGCCACGAAAGGCCAGGAGCAGGCCACGAAAGGCAAGGAGCAGGCCACGAAAGGCCAGGAGCAGGCCACGAAAGGCCAGGAGCAGGCCACGAAAGGCCAGGAGCAGGCCACACGAAAGGCCAGGAGCAGGCCACACGAAAGGCCAGGAGCAGGCCACGAAAGGCCAGGAGCAGGCCACGAAAGGCCAGGAGCAGGCCACGAAAGGCCAGGAGCAGGCCACGAAAGGCCAGGAGCAGGCCACGAAAGGCCAGGAGCAGGCCACGAAAGGCCATGAGCAGGCCACGAAAGGCCAGGAGCAGGCCACGAAAGGCCAGGAGCAGGCCACGAAAGGCCAGGAGCAGGCCACGAAAGGCCAGGAGCAGGCCACGAAAGGCCAGGAGCAGGCCACGAAAGGCCAGGAGCAGGCCACGAAAGGCCAGAAGCAGGCCACGAAAGGCCAGGAGCAGGCCACGAAAGGCCAGGAGCAGGCCACGAAAGGCCAGGAGCAGGCCACGAAAGGCCAGGAGCAGGCCACGAAAGACCAGGAGCAGGCCACGAAAGGCCAGGAGCAGGCCACGAAAGGCCAGGAGCAGCCCCCCCCCGCGTAGCCCCAACCTCAGGGCAGTCAAAACGTCTCGCACAAAGGTTTCGTTCGAAACGTTTCGCAGTATTCGCGTTCGATGTTGACACCGAGTACATACGTTGCCGCGTGAACTTGTTTATGCGACTTGAAACTCACAATGATGCTACTGGTATCTGCAACTTTTGCACTGAACCAATTTCGTGGCCGCCCCCCCCCCCCCGTAGCCCCAGCCCCAGGACGGTCAAAACGTCTCGCTCAAAAGTTTCTGCGCCAATTTCGCAAAACTTGTCTTCGCATCTGTCGTCAACACCAAACACAAACGTCTTCATGTATACGCGCATCTGCAACCTTTGCACTCCTCCAATTTCGTGGCCGTCCTCCCACCCCTTTTCCGCTCTAGTCATCTTCGCATCTGTCGTCAACACCAAACACAAACGTCTTCATGTATACGCGCATTTGCAACCTTTGCACTCCTCCAATTTCGTGGCCGTCCTCCCACCCCTTTTCCGCTCTAGTCAAGCTTCGTCTCAAACCTG